CTCAGAGCGAGTTGTCCAATGCTCACGTAGCAGGAAAAATTCATACTATGAAAGCTCTGCTAGTCAGGGTGCGATGTAGCAACGATGAGAAATACAACTTTCCTCTAGTTCCTAAATGCTTCCTCCCCGCCACCCCCAACTATAATGATCCGAATTCTACCTTGCAAGTCTGGCTAGACCAGAGAATGTACACTGTACAGATAGGAACTGGAAACACAGGGAATCCAGGGCGGATGATCCCTTCAGGACCAGTGGTGTGAGTGGCGCTACTGGGAGGGTGGAGGGAGGGTGGGCTGGAAAGGGGGAACCGATTACAAGGATCTTCATGTGACCTCCCTCCCTGGGGGACAGACAACAGAAAACTGGGTGAAGGGAGACATAGGACAGGGCAAGATATGAAAAATAATAATTTATAAATTATCAAGGGTTCATGAGGAAGAGGGAAGCGGGGAGGGAGAGGGAAAAAATGAGGACCTGATGCCAAGGGCTTAAGTGGAGAGGAAATGTTTTGAGAATGATGAGGGCAATGAATGTACAAATGTGCTTTACACAATTGATGTATGTATGGATTGTGATAAAAGTTGTATGAGCCCCTAATAAAACGATTAAAAAAAAAAGAAGCAAGGATGATGAGACTTTGTCTCACGAACTGTGGACACATTATGGGGGAAACCAACCCCTGAAAAGGACATCATGCTTGGTAAACTCGAATGTCAATGAAGAAAAGGAAGCGATTAACTGATCCAGTGGCTGTAACAATGGGCTCAGACACAGCAATCATTGTCAGGATGGTGCAGAATGGGGCAGTATTTCATTCTGTTGTACTTAGGGTCACTATGAGTTGAACCAACTCTTTCAATGGACTCAAAAAATTGATGAAAAATGGAATGAAAAGATAATAACATTTCTCCTCAACCTTAAAAAAAAGAAAGAAAGAAAGAAAGCTCCTCCAGGCAGAGCTTTTCCGATTTAGAGGCGGGGCTCCCCCACGTAGACCCAGTGCAGAGGAACTATGTCCTGGGCATTCGTGGTGTACCAGCAGGCACCATGCTGGTACTCTACCGCTCCTTGTCCCAATCCTCAGGAATCCTCAAGGAAGGCACTGTTCTTCTTCCCTAACTCACAGCTAAGGAATCAAGCTCACAGCGGTCAATCAACAGGATCTAAACCCATCTTCACCTTCCAAAGCTGCACCACCTGTCGTCTCCTCACAAACTGTCCCGGCTTCATCTCCCCCAGATGGTCCATCAGCAGGCAGGGCACCTGGGAGGCAGCCCTACCCTGCCAGTGCCTGGCTCCTGTAACCTACTGCATTTGCCTTATCTCATTAGGACTCAAGCTTCTCATCTATTAAATGGACAGAGAAAGTCTAAGGTCAGATGAGTATCCTGGAAGAGAATGTTTTGCAAGCAGCTGTATGGTCAGAAGCAGTGGTAGGGACGTGAGGTTTGGAGCAGGAGACTAGGACGTCTGGGAGGAAGAAGAAAGAGTGGTCTGCACAGCTGCAGAGTACACCCTGCATCCCAACACTGCTATTGGTGTTAGGTGCTACCAAGTTGCAACAACCAAATGTGAGCCCTTGGGACAGAGTAGAACAGGAGCAAACCCGGTCAGAGTTCTCTTAACTGTAGTCTTTACAAACAAATGTTGGCTGTAATCTTTATGATCTTTCTCCTGTTCACCAACTGGGTGGATGGGTTTGAACAGCCAATCTGTAAATTAATAGCCAAACATTTAATTGTTTGTGTCACCAGTCAGTGCTGGGTTGGCTCAGAGGAGAAAGAGCCATGTCCTTTGATCAGGCTGACTTGAATTGGAACCAGCTCTGGTGTGTCCCAGCCAAGGGTGACTTTGAGCAAGGGGAGATTAGTTAAGCCTCAGTGTTCTCTTCTGTACATCCAGGGCTGAGTCTAGTATGTGATACAACAAAAAGCCCCATTGTCATCAAGTCAGTTCTGACTCGTGGTGACTCCGTGGATTACAGAGAAAAGTACTCCCTGGTGTTGTCTTGGCTGTGGTCTTTACAGAAGCAGCTGGCCAGACTTTTCTCAATGGGGTGGATTTGAACCTCCAGCCTTTTAGGTTCATAAGCCAATGAAATCATTTGTACCAACTCAGGACCACCATACCGGTTGGCTATCGAGTAGATTCAAACCCACAGCAACACTGTGTGTGTCAGAAAAGACATACAGTTCCATACAGTTCTCAATGACTGTGACCTTTCAGAAGCAGACTGTCAAGCCTCCTTCTAAGGAGCCCCTGGGTGAATGGAACATCCACCTTTCACTCGGCAGCCAGCACATTACTTGTCTGTGATACACAGGAGGCGTACCAACACTTGGTGACTAGCAGACACGCCATAACTCTCAGCGTGTTTCTCCCTCAATGAGCCCATAGTCTGGGCTTCTGAGTCCCCAAGGTGGAGGAGGTGGTTCTGGCTCTGGATTCTGGGGGTTGGAGGGCACAAAGGAGTCCTTCACTCGGGCCCCTCAGAGAAACCTTTATCAAACACAGGTGAGTGGTCCCTCGTCCTCTGAGCCTCACAACAGATGACACTGTGGCTGTTTGTAATGTGGGTCTCTACACCTCATAAGTGACTTCCCTCAGAGCCAGGACCATGGTTCATTCATCTCTGTGTCCCTAACATCTTCCGCTCCAAGGCCTGGTCCAATGGGTGCTCAATATATACTTGGTCACATGGAAAAATGAGAGCTGCCTGTGCTGGAAAACTGATCTGCCCCTCAATCAAGCAGTCAAGTGCTGGGCCTTGCAAGACCGGTAGAGATTGGCTCTTCATTACTGACTGGTACCCTCTGAGTAACCAGGAAAGACATAGGCCCTACAGCAGTGGTGCTCAACCTTCCTCATGCCTTTACTACATGCCTTTAATACAGTTCCTCATGTGGTGGTGACCCCCCCCAACCATAAAATTATTTTCGTTGCTACTTCGTCACTGTCATTTTGCTACTGTTATGAATCGGCCAACCCCTGTGAAAGGGTCGTTCGACCCCCAAAGGTGTGACAACCCATAGATTGAGGCCCGCTGCCCTATAGTGTCCATTTTACAGATAAGAAAGCTATGGCTTGGGAAAAGGAACTGCATTGGCCAACCCACTGAGTTGGGGACAAGAGTTCTACTCTGCTCATGTTCCTGTCTGTTTCGCTACCCCTGCCTATTCCTTCACCCCCAAACAAGTGCATAGGCCTTGGGGAAAGGGAGGAACTCTCCCACTAACTAGAAAAATGTGAATGAGACCAAGGCCCCCAGGAGGCAGCATCAGGGATTGCAAACCCCGATTCCAAAGCCAGCCCAGGACTGAAGACGGGAGGGGAAAGCGAAATGGCTCGCTCGACATCACCCAAAAAAACTTAAGTGTGAGGGAAGTGGGTTAGAGGGCTGGTGGGGGGAGCACTGTCTTTCACACTCGCCCACGAGCGGGACCTCGGCCACCGGAGCAAAACAGACCCAAAAAGGAGGGTGGGGTCTGCGGAGGAAGTTCCAGGCTCGGGGCGGACCCAGAGAGGCGGACCAGCATCCCATTGGACAGTGTCTGCCTCCCTGGGCAGTAGCGCGGGAGACCGGCGGGGTCGGCGCACCAGCCCGCAGAGGCAAGCCTCCGGATCCAGATTTCCAGATCCTCGGACCTGCGCCCCAGTCACATGCCCTTTCCCTCACTGCCATCACACAGCTTTTTAATTCCCTTTGTTGTTGTTGTTGTTTTAACAATGCCTGTGAAACTGTGCACCCTCCCTTGTTACGCTCCACCCCTCCATGTCACCTTGCGGACCTCAATCCCCACCTGCAGGCTGAAGGGTGGATCAGACTGGCCTAGACGCCTATTCCAGCCCCTTCCTTCCTGTGGAGACTCTGGTCAGGTCACTTCATCTCTCAGTTTTCATACCTAAAGAAATATTCCGATCACCACACGCTGAGGCTTAAAGGGGCGGGGTTTCCCCTGCCTTATTCATTGCTGGCTAGGGGAACTTGAGGCCGGCAACCAGAACTTTCAAATTAGCTAATTCATATCAGTTCATGAATTAATCATAATTGATATTAGCTGCCGTCCATTAGGGGGAGGGGTGTGCTTGGGTGGTGCAGACAGTGAACATGCTAGATTCCTAAGGGGGACAGGGAGGCTCCGGCCACTGGAAAGAAGTGGCAGCCCTTGGCTCTGTGGTGAGTTTGCCCTGTGCTGGGACCAGACCGGAGACCAGCCACACTGGTGATCTGACCCCCTCTGGCATCCTAGACTGGCTTTGGGACCTGGTGAGGGCACCGGCTCCCCAGCTCTCCATAGATGAAGAAAATACATTGAAATGTAAGTGCCATCCACTCAGCTACAGAGGCCACCATTCTCCCCGCTTCCCCCCCATACCTGTTGCTCCCACTACCCTTTGGGCAGAACTTTGAAGACCTCTCTTACCCACCCCACGGGACCCACCTGCAGTCCTTCCAAACCATGCTTCCAGGAGAATCTGGAATATAGCAAAGAGAAATAGAGGGGAAATCTAGAGAGATGCTAGGGCAAATAAAAGGGAGGGAGAGAAAGCAGTGAGATAGAGATCAAAGGAGGAGACAAATTAGGGGAAATGGGTGAAGAGGAACAGCAGGAGGCACAAAGAGCTAACAGCTGTCTCCTCTGAGGGACATGGCAATGTGGCATATCTGAAATGCTTGCACCTTTTACAGCATGGGCATATTTGAACATCGTCTCATCGCGGGAGTAGTAAAGAGTAACTAAGAATTGTTTACAAGAAAGGGGAAAAAAAGGTGTGGAAACACAGGACAGAGACAGGAAAACTGAGAGAGAGAAAGGAAATAAAGTTAGGGGAAAGATGGAAAAGCAGACAGGCAGACTGAGTAGACAGGAAGTAGAAAACAAGATAAATGAAAAGAAACGCAGACACAGACTCCAAAGGTCCTCAGGTGGCTGGTGTGGGCTTCTTCCCCAGGCCCTGGCAGCTGCAGATGCCCTCTTTCCTGCCCTGGCCCCGCTGACCTGGAGGACCCGCTTGGTGAGGCCTGTCTTCTGCGCGAGCTGCTTCAAGTCCTTGGCGTCGGGGTTGTGGTTAATGGCAAAGTAAGACTTCATGGTCCGAAGCTGGTGGTGCTTGAAGGAGGTTCGCATGCGCTTGGTCTTCTGGCTGCTGGGGTATGGCTGGTCCCGGTCCAGGTGCTCAGCATCATTCTCGTTGCAGCTCAGTGCTAGGGAGGGGGCGCAGAGTAGGCAGGTGAAGCTCCACAGCCACATTCCCCACCCTGGCCCTGGCCCCCCGCCCCCGCCACAGTGCTGCCAGGACCACACCCACCCCACCTGCCACCAAAAGTGTCTCTTGAGGACCAAGCAGGGATGGGAGTATTGTTTCCATCTTACAGATGAAGAAGCTGAGACTCAGAGAGAGAAAGTATCCTGCCCAGAAGCAGCTAGAAAATGAGGGCACTGGGATTCAAGCCCAGCTCTGCAAGAATCCCCAGCCCCAAACCATCCTGAGCCACCAGCAATGATAATCATAACAATGACAGCTTACTCAGAGGCAGATAATGGGCTTTATCTCACTGATCCTCACCACAACCTGGCGAGGCTAGGCATTCTTTGCCCCTTTTTACAAAGAATGAAACTGAGGCTCAGAGACAAGTTACTGGCAGGAGACACACTCTGGGCCCAGGCTCTTTCCGTTTCCCTGAAGCACTCCCTGAGGAGAGTGGCTAAGCTGGGCCTTCCCTGTGGTGTCTAGGGTAGGCATCTGGAAGGCACTGGCTGAAAGGGAGATTCGGGTTTTTGTTTTGTTTTGGTTTTGCCCCCTCATTAGTTCCCACAACAGAAAGTCCTGACTGCTCCAAGGGCCTCCGCACTGGGCCGGAATTGCATTTTGTAGTTTAATCCTCACCATTGCCCTCTGAGGCTTAGCAAATGGGGCAAATGAGGCTTAGGGAGTTCCGAAATCTACCTTCTGAAGTCTCAGAGAGAAAGAGAGAGAGGGGTGCGGGGAGAGAGAGAAAGAGAGAGAGATCAAACTGGAAAAGAGAAGGGGTATTAGACACCTACTGTATGCCTTTGGCTTTTCATAGAGCATTGAACCTTCGCTCACAACTCCAAGTGGTGACCACTGTTGTTCACTCTGGCAACTACTATTGTTCCCCCCACTTTAGAGAGAAATCAGAAGATCAGGAAAATGAAGGCATGCGCACATTAGCATAAACAGGGAATGGGGGTGAAGGCCTGATTCTTTGGGGAACCTGACCCCATCCAGAAACCACACACACACACACACACACACTGGCACCTGGCTGTCAATGCTTGGAATACATTGTGCCAGGGCAGTGGTGAAAACCAGGAGCTGAGTGAGACATTGCAAGACTCTGAGTCTCCTCACCACACACAAGGTCCTACCTTGGGGATAACCTCCCAGGAGGGGCAACGCCATCACTATACATGGGAAAGATATCTTACACCCTTTTAACACCCCTGGAAAAGAGCTGCCAATACCCAGTTAAATTTGAATCTCAGATAAAGGACAAATAATGTTTCAGGTTTTTTAATATCCCAAATCCTTCACAGGGCATCCATGTACTAAAATAAAACATATTTATTATGTACTTGAAATCCAAATTTAAGTCTTGCATTGTATCTCAGGCTTAAATTCTGTCCTCCTGATGACCTATCTCCCCCTCCTGCCCAGGGGGAGAGTAACCTCCACAGGGAACATTTGCGAGATGTAGGTCTTGCCCCTGACCTTGGAGCTGATGGGCCAGGGCTACTTCTCCTAAGAGCCCCTTCCCCACACCCACCCAGGTACTCCACCAGAGGCGGGGGGCGGTGTCGATAAATTTAAAGCCCTCACTGAATGACTCCCGACTGGATCCACAGAAATTGCCCGGGCCCCGGCAGCACTGCAGGAGCGACCCTCTTCTTGCCCCCAGGCCCCAGCTCCACAGGGGATGGGGCAGGCTTCCCTCTGGGGACCTCTGGGCCCATCTCTCAACCCAGCCCCCACCAGGGCCTCGCTGCTGTTAATGAGCTCCATGGGGACCCCCGTGCCCCTTGCACCCAGGGGACGTGCCCCAGTGAGGCCTCTTAGGTGGGGGCGGGGAGGTGCGAGGGAAGGAGACAGACAGGAGAGAAAGAGTCGAGGGTAGACAGGCAGAGAATGGTGAGAGTAACCCTTAGAGGTGGGTGGACAGAGCGGGGGCAGAAGAGGAAAGAGCCTTGAAAAGGGATGAGGAAGGGTGATAAGAGAGGCCACTACAAAGACAGAAATATGAGAAAGCTCAGGAAGAAAGGCGGCCTGGAATTGGGGGGTTGTGTGCGGGAGGGATCCAAGGAGGCAACTGAGTCCTGGGTCTGAGGAGACAGGCCTTGGTCCAGGGAGGCCTCTTCCAAAGCCGTTACGGGCTAAGGGGTGGAGAGAGAGGGCACTGGTGGAAAGAGAGAGGGGAGGAAGCTAGGACAGTGGCCAGAGACCCGGGCAGACCTGCCGCCTGGGTGAGAGGCCGCTGCTGGGTGGAGGGAAGGAACCACAGCAGGGGAGAGTGGCCCATTGCACCCAGACTTAACCAGTGCCCCCAGACCCGCTAACTCCCCGGGTCTTGCCGAGATTTCCCAGGATTGGATCCGGAGAGGGGCAAGGGGCTGAGGGGAGGAGGAGGAGGACCCGGCCTTTCTCTTTCCCTTTTTTTTTTTCCTCTCAATTAGGCCGATTCAATGGAGCTAAAGAGCTCGTAAAATCATGAATAATTTACTCGTGATCTGTTATTAACCCATCGGGTTTCGAGCTCTTGTCGCTGGGACTGAACCTGTAATCAAATCTGACTTCGCCTCATTTTACTAAAGACGAGATTGTAGGTTCAATTGTCTAAATAATGGATTGGAATCAAATCAGTAATTACGCCGCCAGGCACACACACAAAAAGCTGAGGCTGGGGGAGGCCTCGGCGTCCGGCCGCGCCGCGCGGGACTATGCGGCCGTGGCCCGCAAACCCAGCGCCCAGTGCGGGGCCCAGGCCTCGCACCCACTCCGCACCCCTAGCCCGCGGGCAGCCCCGCTGGGCAGGGGGGAGTGGGGAGAGGGGTTCAGTTCCGCCTCCGGGGGCCCGGGACCGAGGGTGGACAAACGCAGCGGCCCCCGCCCCGGAAGGACTTGCCGACCCTGCAGCCGGCGGGCCCAGGCTGTCCTCCCCTAAAGCCAGGCTCGGGCGCCCAGACGGCGCCTCCTCCCCACGCGGACCCAGACGCAACCCCTCTTCAGTAGTGTGCCGGGTCTTCAGTAGTGCGCCGGACCGTCCCCAAGCCTGCGGGCTTTTCACGGGATCCGTGTCGCTGTGTCCCTGGGTGTGGGACACTCCTACAGACAAGCTCGGGTCTCTACCGCGATTAAGAGGGGCGCGCGCGCGCACACACACACGCACACACACACACAATGCTCAGGAGTCGGACCCTCCAAAGTCCCTTCTCCAGTCCCTGTCGCCCTGTAGACCACGCGAAGGCCAGTTCTCGCCCGCTGGTGCCCGGGAGCGGTGACGCGAAAGCTAGACCTGGGGAGGCTGACTTGGGCCCAGCGCCCCATGTTCCCAAGCTAGCCCCGAATTGGCGAGCCGCGCAGCCGGCGGCGGCGCGTTCCGCGCGGATTCTGCGAGGACGCAGAGCCCCGCCAAGGCCTGAGATGCGCGCACCGGGAGGGAGACCCGCACACAGTGAGACGGGGAGAGCCACAGACAGAAAGAGACGAAGAGTAAGGCAAGCGAGAGAGAAAGAGCCGAAAAGGGGGGGAAAGACGGACCAAAGAGCACATGGACGGAACCTAGCGTGAGCCGTTGGGTCCTGCCGAGGTGCCTGACCTCCAGAAACTCCGTTGGTTCACAGCGCCAGGCCGTCCTGGCGTCGCGTGGGGGAGGGGGAGGGGAGGGCAGCTGGAGAGCAGAAGGTGGGGGGGCCGGAGAAAAATCTGGGCACCTTCGCCCCATCGGTTTCAGACCTGGTATCTTAGTCTACGCCCGGAAAACAATCCCGCTCCCCAACCACCGCAAGCCTTGGGGCCGCAGAACGCCGGCTGCTTCCAGCGGAGGCAGGCCCCACTTTGTAAATAAACGACGCTTTGTTTGCAGGGGATCCTGCCTGGACTCCGTTCATTCTTCATTTTCAGGGTGGTGGGACCGAAGGGGTGCAAGTTCTGGAACGCAGCATCTTTGGTGATGCCTTCCAAAGTCGCCCCCATCCTTTGCGTCTTGGTCAACTCCCCATTTACCAACCCGGGGAGCTGCATTTCCCCCTAGTTCTAAAGAGATTCGCACAGCCCACGACCCTGCAACAAGCAACTTCGGTGGATCCAACTGAGAAGTCCTGCCCCACCGCAACAGATTTCCCTCCTCAGCCAGCTCACACTTTCTAAGATCAAAATAACTCTAATTTCTCCGACTTCCTGGGCTCTGAAGTCCCCTTTCCTTACCCATAGTGTTGGATTTATTTGGTTCCCCCACCCCACCTCTTACCCGGAGTTGAGCGTTTGAAGGCGGGGTCGGGGTGGGGAGCAGGGGTGGGGGCGGGGAGTGGAGGAGGAAAACAAACCATTCCAACGCGATGATCTCCCAATTGAAAGAAAGAAAATAATTGCAAATAAACTCTTTCTAGTTTGGAAGCCCAGGCGCCATAAACCTTTCCGGCCTGTCCAGACTTGGGGCAGGTGTTCACATCAATTTGCCGGACCTCGGAACCTCTGCAGCTGTTTTGAGCTGGGAGGGGCGCCGGGAGAGTACCCAGTACCAGTGAGAAAGGCTTGGGGTTCAAAGACACCGGAAACAAGAAATGAGTCCCCCTCCCTCACTTCCCTACCTCCTCCCCTCTGTGTGAGGCCAGGCCTGCTCTGATCTCAACCTCCAGAGCCAGGCTCTCTGAGTTGGGGTCTCAGTCCTCTCCTTAGCGCCCCTCAGGCTTTGGGAACTTGGGGGAAAGTGCCTAGGCAAAGCAAGACCTGGTTGGGTGAGAGGAGCAAATGGGGCACAATTACCCGAAACTCTTGCTCAGAAAAGGCTCCAAGGTCCAAGTTCCCCTAGTTTACTGCCCTCAGGGCATTTCAAGCTACTGGGAGGCAGCCCGGACAAGCTCAGGGCCCTGGCCACCGGCAGCATTTTCTTTTGGGACCCTTGCTGCCCAGCCTCAATCCTCAAGCTCCCCAGCCTTCAGCCACGCCATCAGCTTAAGCTGGGGTTTGGTGGGGCCCCTGCCTGGCTTTCCCTAACCCTGCACTTTCAGCCCAGCAAAACACAGCCACGTCCCAAACCAAAAAGCCGCCTCTAAAACCCAATTTCTCTGCAACAAGACCTTGCACCAGGAGCAGCCAGGAATGCATGCGCCCCCTCTTCCAGTTCCAGCCGATGGCACGTGGGCTGACGCCTCCGGAGCTCACATCTTCCTGCCCAAACCATCTGTAGCTTGGGTCTCATATAAATTGAGAGCTAGAGCACCCCTTCTAAGTTCAACTACCGAGGTTCCCTGCAGACTTGGTCGCTGATGCCACTAACCGCTCCCAAACCCGACCGGGTCACCCGCTCAGTGAGCCTGGCACTTACCAGCGTTGTAGGCAGCCAGATCCGCCCCGGGCCCCGGGCTCTTGCGCTTCCTAGGCCGGCCCTTCTGCACAGTGCCCACGCCATTGTAGTAGGGAAGACCCAGCGGGTTGGCCCCGGCTGCGCCCAGTCCCGCGCTTTTAGCTGCTGCCGCAGCGGCAGCCGCGGCTGCCACGTCGGCGTGGTTGAAGTGTGTGGGGTACTCGCCCTGCAGCAAAGCCTCGAAGTGCAAGCGGCAGTAGACCAGGCTGTCTTTCATGCCGAAGTGGTCGCCAGTGGTCAACATCTTGTTACACGTGGTGCACGTGAAGCAGTTGAGGTGATAAACCAAGTCCCGAGCACGCATCACCATCTCCGAGGCCGAGATGCCTAGGTGGCAGCGGGCGCAGCGCTGCACAGAGAACCGCCTGTGGGGAGCATCGAGGGAAGGGCAGTGGGACACTTAGTCATGTAACCCCTCTCCCACACCCCTCCTCCAGATGCTACTGCTGCCGCTGGGGGGTGGGGGGCGGCAATCCCCTCCTCCTCCTCCTCCTGGAGATAGGCAACCCGTTCATTAAACTGGATAATGGGGCAAGTGGAAGCTAAATGTTTAACCAGTCCCAGGGCTGTTCCTGCCCTGCACCATAGCCCCCTTAACCATTTCCATGCCTCCAAAGGCTTCAATTTGACCCAAAGTTGAGCAAGCCCTTGGAAAGCCTTGGCTGGGGACAGGGAGGGGGAAACTCCCCCATTTACCCCTTTTCCACCCTTTACTCCTACCCTCCACACCAGCGCCTGGCAAGCCTACAGACCTTTGTAACTTGGGTAGGACGCAGATACAGGAGGAGAAAGAGAGAAAGAATGTAACCAGATTCTTACCCTAAATCCAGGAAGAAGGAGAAATGGGCAATTTGGAGCCTTGAGTGATTCCCATCCTCTCATCCTGGCCAGTTTTCACCCCCACTGTGCCCAAAGACCCAGGAACACACCTACTCCCCCAGCTCTCCCTCCAACTTGGTTGCTCATCAGCCCAGGCTGCCCTGCTCGTTTGGATGGTGCTATTTCTGTTTCCTCCCGTGTATTCGCAACAAGTATAAGCAAGAAACTTCAGAGGGAGAAGAGTGCAGGAACCGCAGCCCAAGCTTGCTTATGGTCTAAGCTCAGAGGGGAGAGCAGCTTGTTGCTTTCTTTGAACCCCTACACTTCCAAGAGTGGCCCAATTTCTCTCTTTAAAAGGCTGTCACCCAGTTAGTGTTTTCTTGGAGTGAGGGCTCCTTAGCTGGGAACCCCATTCCCAGGGCTGAAGGTAAAAGAGGGACAAGACTGATCCTGAGATGGGGAAGTGATTCAGAGTGGCAATGGCTTCTGAAGTGTGGGGGGCTGGCTACCTGTAGTAGTCTTCTTTGCAGTAGATGCTGCCGTCCTTGCTGAAACAGGTGAGCTCCGACTCCAGATTGAGCTTGCACTCGCAACACTTGAGGCAACGCATGTGCCACTGCTTGTCCACTGCCAGCAGGTAGTAGCGATCCGAGATCTTGCCCCCACAGCCTGCGCACAGCGCAGCGCGGTCACTGCTGATGGAAGGCATGGTCTGCAGGGAGGGAGGCAAGAGAGGGCACCGCCTGCATCAGGCTTCTCCTGCAGCAGCCGCAAAAGGGGCATCTGCAGCTCCAGGAAGACCTGAGCTAGTCTTAAACGCAAAGGGTGCTGCCTGAGCCCACCACACTCTACCCCCACCCCCAAAGGCTTGTATCCCTGTGGCTCAGAAGCAGGCCTGCCTTCACAGGGCAAGCTACCGACCACAGGCCCAGGTCGGGCTCCTGGCCTAGATGGCTCTCCCACTGCCTTATTTCTCACCCTTCCTCTGCTCCCTGCCCTACCCCAGCAAGGATCAAGCTGTGTTTGGGGACTGGAACAGCAGAAGCCACTCAGCCAAGCTCTCAAACAGTCCCCCAATTGCTCCTTAAAGGAGCCACTCTGGCTGAGCCCTGGAAAAGGGTCCGGTGACCACTGAAAGTCACACCACCACCACCCCCGGGACACACACATACACCTCAAAGCACAGATGGAATCCTTAAACAGCAGCCTAGTGACCTCTGGATCCAGAAGCCAAAGGTTTAGGCCAGAGTACATAGAGGGGGCTCCTGGCCCTTCTGCCAGGGCCCTCTTAGATCCTGAACACAGATCAAAGGACCAAAAGATGGTGAGTGGGGCGCAGGGGCACCCTCAAGGTCTCTGGGTACAGAATTAGCCCAATCCAAATCCTCCCCTAACCTAACAGCGATCAGCCGGTGCCTTAAAGAGGCGACCAGAGCTGCCAGTCCTGCTCTCTGGGCAGAGAAGCTTGGCCGATGCTCCCTGTCTCCTCGGTTTCTAAAGGTCATTTCTGGGCTCCTCTTGGGCAGCGTCTGCTCTCCAATCTCTGGGGAGATTAGAGGCAAGGAACTGGCTATTTGGGGCTAGGCCGGCGGAGCCAATTGTGGAGATCCTAATGGACTCTCCTTCTGAAAGAGCCAAGCCAAAGCCTGAACTCTGAGCTCCTGGCTTGAAGAAGTCTGGTCGACCAGGAGGGCAGGGACGTGAACAACGAAAAGCGACGGCCTCGAAGACTCTGGTCCTTATAACCTCGCTATGGAGGGAGCTTCGTTTGCCAGGAAGCGGGGAGCAATCGGAGCCCGACTGGAGCCCTGTTGATTCGTAGCAGCCGTGCGGAAAGCCCTAGGCCTGAGGTAAGTTTAGGTAGTCGCCTGGGCCCCAAGTCAGACTTGCTCCTACCCTGGGAGAAATGGTCTCCTCCACCCTCCGGGTCGGAAATTTCAGTTCCATCCATGTTGCCCTCCTTCGCCCCAGCAGCTCTGGGCCCAGCCTGTGAACGCCAGCTCCCAGTCCCGGGCGGCACGAAGGACGCTCGCTCTCGAAACTGCCCACAAACTTTGGGAAGCAGAGACGCAGATCGGCCGGGCCCTGGCGCAGCTCTCAGTCCCTACCCCTCTGCCGAGCGCCTACCGTCTCCGTGTCGCCGCGGTCGATGGCGGAGCTGATAGCCGGAGCCTCGCTCTTGGCCCTTCGGTCCATCTCGTCGATGACCCCGTGCACCTCGGGGCCCGACAGACTGTGGAACAGCATCGCGGCGGGACCGGCGGGGCCGGAGGCGCGGCTCCTTCGAGGGAGGGCTTTCCCCCCTCCTCAGCTGCCTGGCGCTCCCGGCGCTAACGGGCCCGGTGCATCGCCACCGCGGCCCCGGCCCCGCCCGAGCTCGGCTGTGCCCCCAGGCCGGGCTCCGGGCCGCGGGCGCCCGCAGGCCAGGACGCCTCCCGCCGAGGCGTAGGGGCAGCTACATCGCGGGACGCCTGGGCTGCGGCGCCAAAGCCGGGGTCACAAGGGCACGGAGACCAGGGCAGAGGTCGGCGCCCGCTGAGGGCGCTTTCACGCCGCGGGCATCGCCCGCCCGGCTTCGGCGCCCAGAGCGCAAAGCAGGGGCGCAAACTCTGCCCCAGGCAACGACGGGGCTCACCCGCGAGCGCGATCGGCTAGGTGCCTGCGGTGGCTCAGCTACCTAGACCCCTCCCCTCCCTGGAGTGCGCGCCCCCAGCCCAGGGCGACCCGCTTGGGCGCCGAGTCGGCCACTGGAGTAAGGGTTTCTCCGAAACCAGCGAGCCGAGTCGAGCCACCAGGAGAATTGAAGAGGAGGAAGAAGAGGAGGAGGAGGGGCAAAGAGGAGGAGGAGGAGAAGGAGGAGGAAGACGGGGAGGAGGAGGAGGAGAAAAAGGAGGAGGAGCAGAGTGGGAGGAGGAGCCGCCAGCCGCGGGCCCAGCCGCGCGCAATGCTCTCCAAGCGCGCGCCGCGCCGAGCCCAGCCCCGGCTCAGCAGTCCGCGCCAGCGCGAGCCTCCGCGCCTTTTCTACAGCCGCGCCTGACATCACGTCCTGCCGCCGCGCCATTGGCCGCCCCGGGCCCTGGCAGCGCGTGCTCCGGGAAGGCGGGAGACCCGAGAGGGAGGGGAGAATCCGGAGAAGTGGAGAGTCGAGATGGTGGGAGCTGGTGGGCGAGGGTGGAGGGAGGAGGTAGAAGAGAGGGTAGGGGGAGAGCGCGGAGTTCGGAGTTTTAAGAACTGTTTCCTGAGATTTCTTCAAGAAGAAAAATTAAACACGCTTTCCCCGCCGTCTCTATCCTAAGAAGGCGCAGACAGAGGTCCAGGAGATCTTGCTCCAGTCTTCCAGCCAAGGGGCAGGCCCCGGAGCCGCGGCCTCGGGCACTATCTAGGCAGGCGCGGGGAAGGAGGCCTGGGGCATAGCTTCGGGAGACTTTGGCCGCTTCCCCGCCAAGCTTGGCTTGAGGGCAGCAGCGCTGGCCTCTGGGGGACCAGGCCAGATACCAAGAGGCGAGAGCTAGCGGGAGAGCTGACTCCGGGAGTAGGGGTGGCTGCCCGCACCTTAGGGCTTCAAGGGAGTGAGGACTCGATCTAAGTACGGCCCAGCGCCCAGCACTTCTCGCTCTTTCCCCTCTCTTCTCCAGCCTGGAAGAGTGGTAGGAGCCAGAGAAGAAAGAATAGTGCATAGGGGAGCACGCAGAAAGCCGGAGCCAGAGCTGGAACTAAGGGAGCTGGAGTGGGGTGGGGGCGAGCATGGCTTTAGGAAATTCGATAGGCAGAAGTTCGAATCCGAACTCTGCTGATTACTTACACTGTAACTATAGGCAAGAGATTTAGCCCCTCCTAGCCTATTTCTGACCTTTCGTTAAGGACTAATGGCCTCCTTCCTAGGGACGTGATCAAGGACAGAGATCATGGATATAAAAACGCCTGGTCTACTGTAGATGCTCAGAAAACTCCCTTTTCCCTCAGGACCCCTCCTCCTATTGAGAACTTCCCCACTCCTGAGATACATGTAGTGTCACTAGGTCCTTCAACGCCAGGGGACCACTGCAGGCCCACTTGGTGAGCCCTGTGCGCTCCATGAACACAGATCCAGGGGTGTCTGAGCCCACCTGGCTTCCTGCCAGCACCACTTCTGGAAGAACCAGTAAGCAGGCTTGAAGGGAAAACCAAGCTCCATTCTCCCAGACCTCAAGCTGAGCAGAGGGTTTCTTGGATTCCTTTAAGATGTGTGAAGAAGGGACAGTTCTGAAATAGTGACCATGGAGAAAATATCATTTCCTTACAGGGCCCCTTGTCCTTGCTGGGAGGCTACTTTGGAAGCGGGTTTGACTGCTTAATTGTGGGGTGGGGGCACAGTCTGAAGTGGTCTGCTCCCCAGGACAGGGTAGGGGCTCAACAGGGTCTCTGCCATTTATCTTGCAGGCCAGACAGTTGAGGCAGCAGAGAACATGCTCTCCACATAAGTACATAACTTTTAGACAGATATGTAAGTGTGCGTGGAATGCCCAAGCAGTGCAAACGCATATGTTCATCTCTGTTGGCAAAATTCGCCATGGCCAGTAGGAATGCAGAACTAGGGTCTGCACGTGTTTATCGGGTAGGAGTCTGGGATCGGCAGGCAGGATGATGCCCTCTGGGAAGCGGTCAGAACAGGTCTATGGAGACTTCCGTGCTCCAACAATTCTACCTAAACCCGTGCGAGCGCTTTTCCCTAGGCCATGTTTTGCATCTCTGTAAAGAATTCTTGAAGTTACAAGTATATGTGTACACGCTGCACGTGCACAGATGCTCCAAACGCCAGGGAAAGACCATAAATCCAAAGGCGCGCGTGCGCGTGTGTTCACAAAGACTTGTGTGCCTCGGCGCCTGCACACGATCGACCGGGGGTGCCTACACGTATACACAGGCGTGTTTTACTGACGCATGTGGGCACTTTTTTGAAAGAAAGTAGGGAATGAAAGTCTAATCTGGGAGTCACTAGAGTTCATCTGGAGGTCGCCCAAGGGCAGACAAAAATTATTTGCAACAACGCTAACTGTGTTGACACCGGGAGGGAAGACTACAATAGGTTTTCTGGAGAAAAGTTGAGGAGGAATTGAGTGTGTGTGTGTGTGTGTGTGTGTGTGTGTGTGTGTGTGTGTGTGTTGGGGGAAGGGGGGGGTCACTGTGACTCTTCACTCCCTCATACATAAACGCACATGATTCTTACACCATTTCTCTGACCAGCAGCGCACACCCATCCCTGGACCGACCTCAGATTTCCAGGCAGTCAACATTGGCACCTGGGTGCATCCGCTTATTTATCCCTCTGCCCCGGCCTGATACACAGTCTGCAAAAGGCGAAAACATGGTCTCCCGGTGCGGGGGCACGATCCGGCGCTCCTGCAGGGGTTCAGAGGCCGGTAACTTTGCTAATCCCCGCCACCCTGTGGCTGGGGGACATCCCGCAGCCGCTGAGCCCTGTCCGCAGAGACTAAACAAGGAGGGGAACAGGCTGTAAACACACATCCTGACACGTGAGTGACATTTACACGGTGCGAGAACTCTTAGCCGAGGGGAAGGGGGGCGGGGGACGGGGGTGGGGGTGGAGGAGGGAGAGAGGGCAAACCCGGACAGGTAAACAGAGTTCTCAGGGGCTCCGAAAACTGTAGCCCCTGGACAACCCCCCACCCCCACCCCTCTTGAGGACAGGGGAAACGAATCCCTGAGCCCTTCGAACCTGCCTTTTGTGGCAGGTGACAGGTGAACGGAATTCAGGTCTGGCCCCTCTCGCCGCTGCCTACCTCCCCACCATCTGCTTCCTCGCCTGCGAGCAGACCGGGCGCATAATGAGGTAGCAGCCTCCAGCCGGCCACCGTGACTAACTCAGAACAAAAGCGCTCGCTCCACGCCTTCTCCAACAAAGGGGCCACCAGCTCCGACGCTCCTCTAAGGCTGCGGGGCTCCCGGCTGCCGGCTGCGGAGCTGCCGCGCGCAAACTTCCCGTGGCAGCCGGCGCCACCGAGCCGGGGCTGTGGAGGGAGGAAGCGCCTGACTCCCCGAAGAAAGTGAGACCAGGTCGGGCGCGGGGGGGATGGTGGGGGGGAAGGGAGCGAGGGAGCCACGAAAGGAGGGTGATTGATCAGGGCTCAGTTCCCCCGCGCTCTGTCCCGTTATTAGAGGCGGCCAAAGCAGGGCCACGCAATAACCTCCGAATCGCCAACTAATTGACGCTGCAGGCAACTACTTCATTGTGTGCGCTGGTTTTATGTCTTCATAGCCAGTGATTGACAAGGTGTAATTAGTCATCTCACTCGGTGGTAAACATGGGCACCCTCCTCCCGCGGCATCAGGCCGTGTGTACCAGCAGAGGAAGCGATAGTTGACGCTGATACACCATTACATCAAAATGAAGACGTTCAGAAGTGTGTTTGCTGTGACGCTCTGATGGTTTATTTCTCAAATACGGCACCAACAGATTTACTTGATTTGCAAGTTAACTACAACATTAACTGGTTTTATTTATTTTGCCTCTTCCTTCCTCTTCCTAGGCAGGGATGTTGCTCTTGGAGAATGTGAAGACAGTTTGCTTCTTGACAAGCGAGCGAGCGCCCAGATTTTTGCAGGCTCTCCGAGTCTCCCCCGAGGGAAAGGCAGGCAGAGAAAATGCCGTTTTGGGGAGCCACCAGGGAAGGATTCCGCACGGGGGAGCAGCCCTCCTTGACCAGGTCTTTTGGGCACTGCCAACGGATGGCTTCAAACTCTGAGGGTGGTGCAAGGGATGGGGGGAGGGGTAGCGCTTGAAGAATAACTGTGAAGAAGGAGGAGGAGGGACCCCGCCCTCCCTCCCCCCACACACGTTTTCTTCCTTGCCTGGAAGCAGAAAGGATTGTGTTCTTAAAACTGTTGGCTACAGCACTCACAGGTCCAGTTGCCTGTCTCTGTTTTCTGAGTATTACTAACGTGGGTTAGCAAATTTTTGTCCTTGCTTACCAAGGTGGATCTTGCTCAGGAAAACAAAACTGTGTGTGCTCTGTCTTCTTCAATGAGGCTGCCGCTAGAGTTGTTGGCTACTTAGTACAGAAACGTGGCAGTTTACATGTTAAAAGAGGGAGCACCCCACACTGGGCTCCCTGGAATGGCTAAGATCTACCTTGACCCTAATTCTGATTAGAAAATGGCAGGGGCTGTCTAAAGCCATCAAAGAGCTGAGAATCCATTTCCAGAGTACCATGAATATCCCCCAGAAGCCCCCCAGTGGGGTCTGTGGT